ACATAGTTTATTATGCCAGAGCAGTCAGAAGAAAGCCACTTCTTAAGCCGATCAACATTTAGCAAAGATAAAAACCGACAATGGTAATGATGTGCAGACCCCCATGGTACATTAGTATTCCTCATGAAGTCTGATTTGTTTAATATTTAAACAGTAGGCCTATCTGACGATTGATTAGTCAACACTTCTGTCTGAACCACCAGCTGCCCACTGTCAAACATAGCGGAGTAAGCAAGAAATAATCAATATATATTTACATCATCGATATCTGTGACCGGTCACTCACAGAAAAGAGAATGGTAAATGATTTTATCTCAGTGTTTTTTTTTTACTATTTTTATGACCAACAGTAAAGTCCGCGAAGTGGGATCTTCCAAGCAGCCTTCCTCTTGACCAAAAGTGAATAAAATATTAGATAAACCAATGAAAACTTTGGGAAATAACTGACATTTAGGAGTATAAACAGTCACAATTGGAACTGAATTTAGTTTCGGGGTACTTGTTGGCGAGTGCGTGCTTTCGAGAGAGAGGGAGAGGAAGAAAGAGAGAGAGAAAGAGAGAAAGGGAGAGAGAGAGAAAGAGAGAGAAAGAGATATAAAGTGAGACAAAGAAAGAGATAAAAGGAGAGAGAGAGAGAGAGAGAGAGAGAGAGAGAGAGAGAGTCCGTCCGCCCTCTCTACTTTTTGGTAGCTATTGATATTTTATTTAAAATCATCTAGTAAGCAGGAACCCCCTATCCATAAGATCCTCTTTCCGTTACCAGCATGCTGATTGGGACTCGCTTCATGATTTTCTTCATGACGCTCCTTGGACTGACATCTTTAACCTTCCATTTGAGATTTGCATCACTAAGTTTTCTTCTTGGATCAAAGTTGGCATGGATGCTTTCATTCCTTCTCAGAAATACCAAGTGGAACTCTCCTAGGATTTTCAGTTTGAGTAATGAAATAAGGAAAATATCTGCCAGCAAAAGATCTGCTATGTGTTTTCAATGCTGTCTGGTTGGATATACCAAAAGAGAAGACAGCAGATCTGATAAATTCGATAAATGAAAGCTCAAAAACGATTTATTAATAAAATACATATTCTTGAATGGTATAATTAGTTGAATAAAAGTTTGCTTGAAAACAGACGCCTTTATTTACATTTGTCAGGTCTCTGTATACAAAAAAAGTTGTTCTTTGTCACCCTTACTCTCGTCGTCCTGGGTATGACCATAAACTACACCCGGCAGCAAGGCCTCTGATTGGGAGATTGGATGTTTTGAGGAGCGTGGAACCACCTCTTAACTGCTGTCGTTCCAAGGACCACTGTAATCCGGGATGGCAGCATCTGTTAGGGTCCCAGATATGGGCAAATAGTGATCCCCCCCCACAAACAAATCAACAGGTCATTTTTTATAGTAAAATGAACAAATTATATTTTTATAGCAAAATGACAATCAGTGAAACGCTAAAAATGTATAAAAATACATTAAAAAAAAAATATCGACAATACATTTTATGATCTACAAATTCTATATAGCTAAAAAAACAAAAAAAAACAAAAAAAAACACCTTCACTATGAAAGTATTAAATTATATACAAAATATTTAGATTTCGGCATTAAATAACCCATAGAGGTGTTGAAATGCCACTAAACAAAATCAACAATACATATTTAAAGCAAAATGACCAACACATTTTATCTGTAGTTGGAGCCATAAAATTGCATTCAAAATATTTAGATTTCGGTGTTAAATAACCCATAGAGGTGTTGATATGTCGCTAAACAAAATCAACCAACCATTACTCTCGAAAAATAAATGATATCGACGACTGGAAACTTAATTATCCTATAAGTTGTTTCCAAAGAGATTTACATTTTTGAAATAATCAATAGAAATGAAACATTTAAATATGTGTTGTTCTTAGAGACTGTTTTCTCGATACAACACCTGTCGATACTTATCGAAATCTGCACCAACAATATGGCTCACGATCTTTTTTTACTGAAATACCGGCATATACGTGTAACACATTGATATTAATTGCAGATTTCAGATAAATCTTTCAACTTACATATGAAGAACAATGCTGCATTGTTTCTTGTGGATAATTCCCCAAACATCACGAGCAACAAAACTCAAACAAAGGCATTTAAAATCAAGGAAGATTATGTTGTAAATAGGAAAGGTTGACACACATACAGAAAATAAGAAGTTGCTTATTCCAGAGAATAATATGGTACACGGTTGAGAACATAGACTAATGTAATAAACAGTTTTTAACTCCCATCCCTCAATAAGAGAGAGTGCTGTTTAAATAGTCTTAGACAAGTCCATTTTGTGGGGGTGTTCAGCTACTCTACAACAATACACATTCTTAATTCAAATTCAGAGCTTGACCTGGCATCTCAACTTCAGTCACTTTCTCACTGATGTGATGTGGAATGGCAATTGTCCTGATGAGTGTTTATCCTTAGTGCCGTGACTGTGTGAATTTAAGTGTGTTGCTAGATTGACAATTAGGTTTCACCTTTTTACTGTTGAACTACCTAGATACAACCATCAGTTCTATTCTAATAGTTTCTTTTCTTGAACTTCTCACCTGTAGAACTCAGAACACAGGCTAATGTAATAAACAGTTAATTGTTAACTCTTCTCTCTCAGTAAGAGAGAGTGCTGTTTAAATCATTTTAGACTAGTGCATCCTGTGGGGGTGTTCAGCTACTCCACAACAACGATCTACATTTTTTAAATTATTTCATCTCCAAAGCAAGACGATCAAGCCACTAAGAGCTTACTGAGTATGAAATACAATAGAATAAAGGAAACTGAGAAAACGTTACTGAGCAAAAAGGACAATAAAAGAACAGGATTTAAGGAGACAGTAGAAGAACATTTACATTTGTATTTAAATTTTTGAAGATTGTAGTTGTCGAGAAGCTGAGGAGCATTCCACAAGAAAGATGTGCGAGAGAAGAAACTCTTAGAATAGAACTTACGGTTATATTTAGCAATTTCAACAGAAAAAGGATGAGACCTAGCTGCCAATCTAGTACTGCGCTTAAATTCATGAAGTCCAGAGGAAATCTGACCAAAAGGGCACAAAAGAAAAATAGATCAGCGTCTCATTGCAATGGCAAATGATAGTTATTAGTTTCTAATCGAAGATTCAAATTGAAATCAGCCGTAAAGGAATTAACAATGGGCCACCTGTGACTCAGTATTAATAGTCAACCGGAAGAACGAGAGATCGATTACCCGAAATCGAGACATTGAAACGTAGAGAACGATATCGTTTGTACGATTCAAGTTCGAATTTCAAACGGTTGAAAATAAACAACGGGCAAACATTTTTTTCGGTATTCATTTCATCGGAACATAAGGACATTATTATATTTTTTTTTTGCAATAGTATCCGCTGAAAAGAGCAACAGATGTATATTTTGTTTAATTAACCCAGTATATTTGGTAAACTTACATCGGTTTATTTTGTTTACGATTAATATCAAAATAAATCAATCAATCGATCTATCTATCTATCTATCTATCTATCTATCTATCTATCTATCTATCTCAGTCTGTTCAGACGCTTTCTTTCGCTCTTTCAGTCTGTTCATACCCTTTCTATGGTTCTCTCACTTTGTTCATACCCTTTGTCTCTCTCTTAGTCTGTTCATACACTTTCTCTCGCTCTCTCTTTTTGTTCATACCCTTTCTCTCTCTTTCAGTCTATTCATACCTTTCTCTCGCTCTCTCAGTTTGTTCATATCCTTTCTCTCTCTATATATATATGTCTGTAAGTCGGTTCATACCCATTTTTCTCTCTCTTTATCTATCTATCTATCTATCTATCTATCTATCTATCTATCTAACTGTCACAATGTTCATTATTTATCCATCACAATCTGTTCATTATCTATCTCTTTATCTATCTATCTCACTATCTTAGTCTGTTCATACCCTTTCTCTCTCAGTTTGTTCATACCCTTTCTCTTTCTCTCTCTGTCTCTCTCTCTCTGTCTCTGTCTGTCTGTCTGTCTGTCTGTCTCTCTCTCTCTATATATATATATATATATATGTCAGTTCGTGGCCATTTCTCTCTTTCTGTCAGTCTATCTATCTATCTATCTATCTATCTATCTATCTATCTATCTATCTATCTATCTATCTATCTAAATTTGAATAAAGACGACGGAGAATGATTTTTAAATTGTTTAGTTAACATTTTCTTTTCCCGTACAACAGTAATGATGTCAGAATCCTATGAATGTAGTTGTGTATGAATTGTCAAAACATTTGATGACTTGCGTCTATAAGCGTATTCTAACCATTGTCAAGATCTTGGCAACTAAATGCTGTTTGTCTATGGAGTTTGAAAATTTTCATAGAAGGATAGATGACTTTTGTTTTATGTATGTTTTAAATCGTTTTGATTTCAAACCTACATAAAACAAAACCCTTCATTTCTGCCTCACCTTGAGGAATGGTCAACTAATTATAATCTCAAGTTATTGCTCTCAAACATCATTGAGTTTATGTTACATAAAGCTGTATCTGTACGAAGAGTTGGCAAAATTCTCCAAATATATAATGCAGTCTCTTCCTATTTCATCTTCACTCTGACAGAGCACCTTTCAATTGCAATATTTTGTCCAAATTAACAGTCGAGAGAGAAAATATTTACTATTTTTAGCATAACCATAAATGGAAAATTTGTCTTTCAGCGTCTGGGATCACAATAATATGTTCAGAAACTCACAACGCCCCGCAGAGCAATGTAAAAGAAAGCTTTCGCCATATATGAATACCAAACATTTTTGTGAAGCATCTGTATCGATCGATCACAGCCAGACGCACGTGTGACGCCATCTTGTTGGCGAAGAACTCGATGGAAATTTCCATGACGTCACTCTCACGCATACGACGATTATATTCAGGAAGCTATTTTTCACGTGAGAAAGTCTCGTCTGCTTTTTCGGCCACCTCGTTCAATGTATCTCCTTTTGTTTCGTCATGGAAATTTCATTTCAATTCCTACTTATCTATTTATCTATCTCTATCTGTTCATTATCTATCTATCTATCTATCTATCTATATAATTTAATATCTACCTATGTATCTATCCCAGTCTGCTCATATCTATCTATCTATCCTTACTTTTCCATCGTTACTCAGTGCATTTCTACGCTTTTCAATGATATTTCTCTCACCAAGTGTTATATTTTTGTATCGGGTTGGAACAAAAGTTTGTTGCGTTTTATTATGTAACTTTCAAAGACAATGTGTTTTTGGCGACACATAACGAGGAAAGAAGGCTTTCAGAATTTAACCCTCACAGGTCATATAAAAAACAAGAGAGATGCCGGGAAAAAACAGTGAGTAACCGACTTAGCATGTTTCAACCAACGGATGAAAGAAAATGCCTAGAGGGTTCAGGAAGAAAAATTATGATAGGAACCTTTAAGAGCCACGATTCTACACATCATTATAGGACATGGCACAAGGTCAGCACTCGTGTGTGTGTGTGTGTGTGTGTGATAGATAGATAGATAGATAGAGGAACGGAAAGGGAAATATTCACCTTTGAGAATGAATTTCAAAGACAATATTTAGATCAGTGGGTCCCCAACCGATTTTGGGCCATGCCCCACTTTGGTATTTCTAAAATACTGGTGCCCCCCCCCTCCCTATAATATTTAATTCTTACATAATCAAAATTTTATTCCAATTCATGTGAAGAAAGCAAACTGAATGCTTCACACGCGCTGATTAGCTGACAAAACATCGGCTCTTCCAACGACATGCATCACGCCCTCTCCTTTGTTGACCGAGACACTCGAGTGTGGGGAGAGCGGAAATACCTCGTATATCAATTACACATGTACGTACATACACACAAAATATGTTTATGTATGCATTCTGTATATACATAATATGTATTAATACGCATTAACATTAACATTCTCACTCACACTCACTAGAAAACTATGCAGTGTTAATAACTCATTCTTGAATTGCCCTCCTTACTCTGTTGGTATAGTAAGCTGAAGGGTACACATCCTACGCATGCCATACCAAAATATTACCATGCACCACCGGCCGACAAAATATGGCCGACAAAACATGGCCGACAAAACATGGGCTCTTCCAACGACATGCATCACGCCCTCTCCTTTCTTGACTGAGACACTCGAGTGTGGGGAGACGGGAAATACCCTGTATGCCAATTACACATGTATGTACATACACACAAAATACTTTATGTATGCATACTGTATATACATCGTATGTATTAACACGCATTAACATTAACACTTTCACTCACTGACTAGAATACAATTCACTGTTAATAACACATTCTTGAATTGTCCCCTTATTCTGTTGGTATAATAAGCCGAGGGGTGCGCATCCTACGCCTGTCCCAGCAAAATATTACCATGCGCCCCACGCTGAGAATCATAGATTTAGATATTTGTACATTCAACCACATAAACTCTTTTGTTCCACTGTAATTCACAAATCTTTAAGGCAGCTTCATAATTCCCTCCTTACTGAATTTGTCGTTTTTCTAGGCGATGAACAGGTGTAAGTGTTTTTACAGGCTTCCAAAGAATTAATCGAATTTGGTAGGGATCAAAATAAGTGTTAATCCAAAGTGGTAAGGTATGATGGGTGTAATAAGCCATCCCAACTGGGCTGTACTAATTTCTGCCTGAACTGCAAAGGGACGTGAGGTCTGGCGTTGTCTGATGGAAGACGACTCCTTTACTTAGGGAATAAACAGTCAGTTAAGTGCTCTATGTGATACACGTCCGGGTGATCTGCCGACTCAGTCTTGAATCTTTCGATTCATGACTGAGTAGGCGGAAGATTTTTTCCCGCAGTAGGTTGCCATTTCTTTCTGCAGTAGACTGGTTGCCAACCATGGCTATGAGACCCGATCTGTTCTGTTGTTCATCTCATAGCTGAGGAGGTGGATTTATACCTTTCCCAAGGGCATTTGCGCGTAAGTTAAATGTAAAGAACCCGACTGAAATTCGAACTCCGCCTCCCGCCATTCCGACTCGTTATCCATTACATCACAACGTACATCGCTAGGGAAGAGTACTTGTCTAACATTTGAGGAAGCTTTTCCACTTTCCTCTTATAACTTACTGCTTCTATCCGGGTTAATGAGGTTTTAACAGGTTACGAGTCAGCTAATTACTTTATATTCCCCGCCTTTGATATTATTGGTTATTTTTTACGGTTTGTTTCAGTTTTTCTAATGTCAGGCAAAAACCTTTAAGAAAAGCATTATGTTAGATAAAGCATTACCAACCATTATTGACTAGCAGCATGGCCCGGCGTTGCCCGTGCTTGATTCAAAAATCGTACGACTCATACAGCAATCGCTATCACTTGACTTAAAATATTTTTGCCCTTCCTTGCCTTTAAAGGGGTGCCCTTTGCCGTGCTGATGTTGCTACATGCCTTACTCACACTGCGAATTCTGGCACAATCACACGTGTCCATTGATTGACGTTGTCCAATCAGTTTTTGCGTTGGCGTCCTCTCCTACGTCCACTTTTAACGGTGTCTTGCATGATGGTCTTGCACAGGATGTCGTGCTTTGTAATGTGTCCAAACCACACCATTATTCTCCGTTTGACAGTGGGGAAGAAGAGGTTCCTGCTGTCCCACAAAACTTTCAACCCAAACTATATATTGATCTGGGAATTTAACTATATATATATATATATATATATATATATATATATATATATATATATATATATATATATATATAATAAACGACCTATAAAAGAATTTGTTTGTAAAATAGACGCAAAATAAAAACAAATCTTAAAACTACTCTATTCTTCACGAAATGAGCCATGGGGTTGGTGTGCTGGTAATAATCTTATTGTAACTCATATCTAAAGATGCTTGAAAAGTGGTCGGTTCTCTGTAGCGCCCCAGGAAGTACCTGACCCCTCCTGCAATCCTCTACCTTTGCAAGAGCCAGATCAGACCGAAAATGTACTGCAGAAGCTTCACAGTCTTCATTTTATAATCTTGATAGAGTTTGAAAGCGTCTACATGGCCTCTTGAGTGATTAATTATTTTCCACCCTACAACCACAGGCGAAACATTGCAAGCCTCTGTTTCTATGGAAAGTGCTCAGACGAGCTATCCACAAGTTCTAGTGATTTTCCAAGCGTAGCTTAGATGTAAACACAAGGCCGAAAGTATGGGGTACCCAGTGAGGGTCGAACTCACTACTCAGTCGTAAATGTTCTAGTGAGACAAGCTTGCTTACAATTACACCGCCTCAAGGTGCCTTAGATCCATTAGTTCTAAGCTCCACGGCTAAGATTCACCATGCCACACCCATTTTAGGGAACCACGCTTATTCCCTTCGTATTCCATTGGCGAGATGTAAGTTCTACTCGAGTAGTTTCTTCCTACGAACTGTTGCTTTGTGGAAATAACTCTGACGAAGATACCTCCCGATTGCTACAATCTTAGCCTCTTCAAGTCGAGGGATAACTGATATCTTTGCTAAGTATCCCCATAAATTGTGCGTTTTACTCTGTAACCATCTGACTCGGGAGGTTTTTGGACCTTGTAAAAGGTGAAAATTATTGTAAAACTAACTCCTACCAGGAATATTAAATGTTAAAATCCTATTACAAATAGTCATTGAATTCCTTGTTCCATGCAAACGCTTTCTTAAAAAGCATGTCGATGTCTTTAGTAGCTGATAATAAAGGGTTGCAGAAACAATCCCATATCTTATTCCTGACGTCATAGATTCCCAAATAGGCATCTACGCGGTCGACACTACTATTTACTCCTGCCTCAAAAACAAATCTAGTGTCGTTGACAAAAATAACCTGGCCGTTTGTCTCGAAAAGGACCTCCAATCGGTTGTGGACTGGGGCAGGAATTGGCTGGTTAACTTTAATGCCTCCAAAACAAAACTGCTCTCTATTACTCACCAGAGAGAACCATTCCTGCCCTCCTCTATTAGGATGTCTGACGCTCAACTCCACAAGAACACCTCTCTGCGGCTGCTCGGTCTTACATTGGCTGCTGATTTGAGATGGAACAAATACCTTGAGTCAATAGCTTCGTTCACCGCAAGGAAAGTTGGCTCCCTGTGTCGAAATTTTTCTCGCCGGAGTCGATCCTTCAAATCTACAAATCAACCATTCGCCCTTGAATGGAGTATAGCTGTCATATATGGTCTGGAGTCCCTTTTGTTTGTCTCAAGGTCCTTGATAAAATCCAGAGACGGATATTGGCCCTGATCTGGCATCTCGTCTGCAGTCGCTCTCTCACAGACGTACCGTCGTCTCCCTCTGTCTTTTTTACAAATACTTTCATGGTAACTGCTCCGATGAGCTGCTTTCGCTGGTTCCCAGACTTCATGAATTTAAGCGTTGAACTAGGCTGGCATCTCGCTCTTACTCTTTCACTGTCGAAACTGTTAAATGTAGCCGTCTCTTCTACTCCAATAGCTTCATATCTCGCACTTCTCGCCTGTGGAACTCCCTCCTCTTTTCCTGTTTCCCTGATAGCTATAATCTCCAACTATTCAAATGTAATGTCAATCGATGTCTCCAGATGCCTTGATCTATCCCTTATCCTTCTCTTCATCTTTTCCTCTATCATTCCTATTTGCTCTCACTCCAACTCTCTGTAACCCCTTGATTGCTAGTGGCTTTCTGCCTTGCTTGGAGTGAAACGCTTAAAAAAAGAAAAGAAAAAAATCGAAGTTTAATTAATTTTTTTTTCATCTGGAATATCATTTGAGATTATCCGGAATATGTCCCTTGTTTTTTTAACATACAATTATAATAACTGCACAAAAATATATTACTCATTCCTAAAAATTAAAGTGTACTCTTTGATAATTTCACATCAACCTCTTGCAGAATTTAACTTAAACTTAATATATATCTAATAAGCTGACCTGCCAACTTTTCTTATTCCAGATTGAAGAAGACGCTCGGATAATCTCTTTGAACACACCTACTACTGCTTCTCAAACTATCTGATATGGCGGACCGGGATTTTTTTCTCTCAATCTGTCACGTACCTATAATATTTAGTGGTAATATTAATTTATACCGGAAACGATATATCTAATGAATATAATAAAACTTGACTATTTTTTATCTTCCATTTATTTTGCAAAAAGTAATTCAATATCAAAACATAAAAAGTAATAAAAAAAATAAGCTTCAAATGATTCCTTAGCATGGCCTAGACACTGACCGCGTACCGGTAGCTGATGGACCACGTACCGGCATCGGCTCGCGGACCACCACTTTGAGTAACACTGCCCTACTAAACACTGCTTGTCATATCTGACTTGTTTGTAGAATACAGTCGGGACGTGAAGACAATTTGGAAGCATCCAAACTGTCCCTCGCCCTTCCTAGAGTCCACACCTTGTTCCCCAACTGAAGGAGAACCTCAGGGTCAGTCATTTTAAAGACTGAAATGAAGGAGTTATTTGACAAGGGTCCTGGACACCTCAACTTTGTAGGACTTCTCTGAGGCCTTCAAGAGATGGCTGGAGCTGCACAACAAGACCATTGAAAGGGGTTTTTGTACCCCTTTCAAATGAATAACTCTTCTGAAAAAGTCTCAAACTTCCGGAATACACATCTTACATTGAAATCTTAAGAGTGAAATTCTTAAAAGCTTGCCTTACATTAAAATAGTTTTAATTCTATGGCATCGAGACAAATTCTTTAATAGACACTTTGAATTAAGGATGCTATATTTTAAATGTTTTCCGGATATGTAGATGCTGATTGAATCAGGTCTCTAGGTGACGTTTTATAGATTTTTGGCTATTTAGATAAAAATCACTTGCAAGCTAAAAGGAGAAAAACGTCAAACTTAAAATACATAACTACAATTATATCTTCAGAAGTTAGAAACGAATAAATATTAAAATAGGCTTCAAGCGCCTGTCTACGCAATGCTGAGGACAAATTTTCTATTTCGAGAGACACCAGAGAGTTGCGTCAACTCCAGTGTGTTTCGTCTGCATATTTGTTTTTCTGAGAAATGTAAAAATTTTTTTGTGTTGATGTTGTTTGTTAAAAGCGTCACTTTTTTCTCTTTTATTTTTTCCTCATTTCAGGGTGGCGTTTGGATGAAGGTGGGTGCAACAATGGCGGGCGATAGAAGAACGATTTTGAAAATAATGGATATAAAACGTACGCGCATGCGCATTGCGACGAAATCGGCAAAGTGTCACTTCTGCGCAGAAAGTTTTATTGAAGTAATAATTGATTACGGCAGTAGCAGAAAATGGCTGAGTTGTTACGGGTGTACAAGTGCGGGTACGTGATTGTGAGGCCCTGTTTGTTTGTGTGTGCGTGTATTAGCGGAATTTGATAATAAATCAATATGTAGCCGTATGTTTGCATGCATTTCTACACTTAGGTACAAGTGCATGAATATGGAGTGCGCACGTCTGTGTCTATAAATAGAGAGACGTTAGTTGGCAGGAAAGTTCCTTTGAAATATTTTTAGTTTGACCATTGATGGCGAGAAAAAGACTATTTTCACATTCCCAATTCTCTTTCTCACGTGAAATTAAAGTGTGTAAATTATTACAAACACATCGCTTCATTGCTTATTGCGCAAATCAAGACAGAATATTTAAAATTTATGTGACATTCAAATATAACATGTAGGAGCAACGTAAGACATAAAATGAAACGTCAGTCTTTATGCTACCATAGTTTCTACAAGAAGGCTGTCATCAGGTAGTACATCTAGGTGCTTCATTTCAAAAACTCTCTTGTATACGTATTTGCATTTACAAAGGTGTGGGGGTGAAAGAAACAAAATGGAAAGAAAAAGAAAGAGTGAAAGAGAAAGAGTATGTGTGTGTGTGTGTGTGTGTGTGTGTGTGAGAGAGAGAGAGAGAGAGAGAGAAAGAGAAATATATATAAAAAGACTTCCTCACCTGCGTAACGTGACTTCCTTCTGTCTTTTTTACAAATATTTTCATGGCAACTGCTCTGACGAGCTTTTTTTCCTGGATGCCCAGATTGCATTAATTTAAGCGTCCTACTAGATTGGAATTTAGGTCCCACCCTTTTACTGATGAAATCCTAAAGGACGAAACAAGTCACACGAAAATGTTTACCACTTTGTTATACTGTTATACTTATTTCCAGAGCGATTTTCTTTGTCAAAATAACAAAATATCAGCTCCTATATACTGGTGTCATTTTACTTCATCCGGTTTCGATTCGAGTACTTCCCCTGGATTCCTAACTCGGGACGATGGCCTCTTTCTTCATAGTTTAAACCAAATGTTTCATACCTTTTAAACCGTTAATTCCATAACATTACTAAAACTTTAACTAAAACCTACACCCCTACCCAACCCAACGGATCCGTTTAGGTGAAACTTAGGTAGGTTTGCCTGGCTCCTTAGGATTATCTTACATATATATATATATATATATATATATATATATATATATATATATATCTGTGTGTGTGTGTGTGTGTGTGTGTGTGTGTAAAAATATATAGAAAATAGGAAAGAACTCGTTAGGTAAATAATCCAAAGTTCTTTAGTATTTTTGTTATTATGTTAAAAAATAGTGCTCGATACAAAAGTAGAGCATAAATATAATTATTTAGCGATGGAGTCATATTTTTAAATAAATAATTATATATGGCCTGACTATTATGTTTATCATGAAACACACACACACACACACAAACGCACCCACACACCCACACACACACACAAACACACACATATATATATATATATATATATATATATGAATTGGAATCAGATATAGATCAAATATGTAGTGGAATCCAACAGAATGATAGGATAAGGAACAAATAGAAAACGTTTATAAATCTAACATGTTTCGCGTTTATTAAAGCTTCATGAGAAACTAAAATATGGAAGTGAAAAAGAAAATTCTTGTATTTTTAATTTTTGTATTGTTTGTTTCTCATTGGCTAAGAGGACATGTGTCTTGTCAAGCAACGTTCTCTTGTATAATTCTCATTATCATCTGAATCCCACATAGACGAACAAGAATGATGATAATCATACACACGTGATTTATACACACGAACGCTGCCTTCACCGGAAAAGACAAAAAGAATGGAACTACTGAAGCATTATGGTTAAAGATGAAAGTATAAAAGAAAAACTCATTTTTATCGATAATTGGAATAGAGTCGTTCGATAATTCGAACAGGCAAATCAAGTCAACCTAAATCCGAATTTATTGACGAAAGCAAACCAATGGCAACAGATCAAATAATTCTGATCCATGACGAAGATGCCTTTTCTGACTTTTTATGACGGAGAACTGGAACACGGATCAAAGCGAGACTAATTCTCAGTTGATCCTTCCAGAATAAAGCATTGAAATCCATTAATGTGATTCTCAGTTTCTTGACAAAAACTTATTGTAAAGATTACCCGCTTTCTCTTACTTTCTGTTTTTTCTTTCTTTTTCTTTCTTTCTTTCTTTCTTTCTTTCTTTCTTTCTTGCTTTCTTTTTCTCTCTCTCCTTCTATCTTTCGTTCTCACTCTTTCTTTCTCTCTCTTTCTCCCTTCTCATCTCTTTCTTTCTCTCTCTCTCGCTTTCTTTCTCTTTCTTTCTCTCTTTCTTTCTTTCTCTCTCTCTCTCTTTCTCTCTTTCTTTTTGTTTGTTTGTTTGTTTGTTTCTTTCTTTGTCACTTACTTTTTATCTCCCTCACTCAGGTCGTCGCCGATTGAAAAGTTTCCTTGCTTGCATAGCTTCTATGTTTACTTGTTTACTTCTTCTTAAGTGACATGTCTTTCGTCTCATGTCTCTCCACAGCTTCCTTTTTCTTTTAGTATCTGTAGGCTGGGAATTTTTATGATTATTCTTTGAAAAGAGAGGTTTCTCGTTGCATTTTTTTCAGTGATGTTCACCTTGTACAAGGCCTGAGAGCCACTCGAGGTAGAGGGTCACTGAGTAAGAGACACAGTTGATTCGTATATGAGAGAAAGATAACGGATAACCATAGACGTGAACAGGCTAAGATTGTAGTGATCTGGGAAGCATCCTCTTGGGAGGAGACGGTTCCACAAAGTTCATTGGAAGGAGCTGCTCGTGGGGAATTTGCATCTTACCAATCGAACACGAAGAGAACGAAGGTGGTTTTATCCAATTTTGAATTTGGCGGTGTTCTCCACTTCTACTGATTGCCAGCCAACGTTAAATTTGAAGTGTTTAATATTCATTTATAACAGAGAATTGGCATAGACTTGAATTCCGTGCTTATTAGATCCTTTTTCTTATTAGGGTTTATGATAAAACCTACACTATGTGCCGCCCTTTTTTATCTTGTTTACTCCATTCTACATAAAAATAAAGTTGGGTGTCTATTTCTTTTGTTCCTGTTCTTTTCCTTATGGTATCAGTGATACCCAGGACCGTGATCCCGTGTTCGATCACGAATTCAACTACCCCAGGTTCTTTGTTTTTCAAACCACAGATGTTTCAAATTCTAAGCTTTTCATTGTTTCTAGCTCGTTTTCAGCCTTGATCAGTCCGTTTGTCTTGATGTTGTTCCATTTATACAAGATGTAAATCTGGGTGGCTCTATGTTAGAAAAATGTATTAGTGATAATAAGGTCATGCTCTGAATACAGCTCCATGGTTGACATTGTAGTTTCAAGCAGTTCTAAGGTCACTGTGTGGACTCAGGCGTTTTGTCCACGGTGTTCTGCTCTCGCCGACTTTGCCGTTAAAGTCTCTCATGACGTACAGGTCTTCTTTGTCTGGAATACAGTTGATGGTGTCCAAGAGTTCTTCAAAGAAGGAGTCCATTTCTTCTTCAGAGTAAGAGTCATTATATGGTGTGTACACTTGAATGTAGTTGGTGACCTTATTTCCTTCTCTGAAATGAATTCCGTACTTGCTAGATCCTTTGCCAGAGTGTATGATGAAACCTACACCATGTGCTGCTCTCTGTTCCCTGTTTACTCCGCTCCACATAAAAATTAATTTATTTTTGTTCCTTTCTTTCTGGTATCAGCGATAGCCAGGCCCGAGATCCCGCGTTGGATCATGAATTCAACTGCCCCAGGTTCTTTGTTTGTCAAACCACAGATGTTTCAAGTTCCAGCGTTTTCGTTATTCCTAGCTCGTTGTCTGTTTTCCTCGCCGGATCGTTTTCTGGAAGTTTTTTTCTCTCTCTCTTTCTCCCTCTCTCTCTCTCTCTCTCTATATATATATATATATATATATATATATATATCACACACACACACTCACTACACCATCTCTGTCACTGACGAGTAGTCGAAATTATTTCCCTATTAGGGACAATAAATGTAACCAATACAAACCATATGGAGAATGCTAATTCTAACAAGAAAACCTTTCTCCTTGTGAAAAGACGATTTTCAGTAACAAAAAGAAATAAGCCAGGTGTATTGGCCAGAGGACAGCCGTGTTGACTAACACCGCAAAGCACCCAAGACGGCCTAGAAACACCGGCTTCAACCACATATAAGATCGTGACAATGTCATGCACCTTCAATAAGAAGTTATATTCAAACAAATGACAATAAAAGAGTAACATTAATCGATTTTAGTGACCCAATTGTTCGATAGGTCCTGGGTCTACTTGGCAAAATATAGCGACGAGATTGTATCACTATTTTAGTTAATTGAGCAAATTCCATTTAGTCAACCGTTTTATCCAAGTCGTGGCCCCCCTCCAAGACTGTGGGTTCGGTAAACGGTAGCTAAAACAAAATATTTTTTTATATTTAAATAATCGATAATTTATTTCTGAATTTTTAAATGCGAAATTATTATTATTACTAATATTACTTCGACCGAGTGTTTCATTAATGGTAATTTTTGCCGTTCAGTTGGATCAATTTAAGTTTAAAGTCAGTTCACCCTAAAATCAATATTAGTAACAACATTTGAGTGCGGGGTTAACAATTTGAAGGGGGGGTCTGAAAAGGGCCGTTTTGCGTTCTCAATTTTGTTTCAGCCTCACGCGCAGCAGCAGTTGACGAGGCGTTTCTCCTCAGCCGTTGAGTTCTTTGTTCACCATTTTCAGCTTCGCGCGCAGAAGCGTTCAGGTATGCTCCTCTGGAAAGACGATGGCTACGTTGATCTTCGGACTCAGTGGCTTTGATTAAATTATTCCGTGAGGCATTTTGAGACAGGCGAACCGAACATTCTAAAGACGATTCGTTATCTCTTATTCGCATGGCGCACCTCGCAGAAGCGGTTTTGTGACCTAGGCATGTTCTTTTATTTAGTGACATGTCATAGGCAAGTATGAATTGTCAAATGAAATGCATGGGCAAATACCAGAAGAGACCGCTGTAAAGTTACAGGGATCACTAAGCTCGAATAACTTTAGGAAAGGTTGGAAAATTAAATGTTGAGTAATAAAAAAAAGCAAGCTTACTTATTACTTCTACTGGCAGGACAATAAAAGAAATTAAATTGGGAATGGCTATAAACGACAATGAAAGCAATGCCTTACAACTGTAGTAGTATGCTTTATGAAATGGAAAAAGTAACCTCACTTGGGAGAGATTGAACGCTTGGCCAAGAGAAGGGAATGTGTAAGCAGGGCTGGACGTATAAAAGTACAAGTGGAATTCGGAATAAAGCGGCAGCAATGATCTTAGGACAACATAGACAATCAATATGACACGGCGACATTTGATTGGACGTGTAAAGGGACTTCGTGCAGACAATGGGCAACTTGAACTCTTAACTAAAAAAAAAAGTCAGCCACACAGACCGTTACAAATATATCCTATTTCTGAAATAGGATATATTATTTATGGTGAGTTACCGGTCACACAACTCGCTAAAAAAGGAAAAAGAAACAGGATGTGGCGATAATTTTCATTGGCCCGTGAATTAACGAATCGGCAATTAGCGAGAATCGCCGCCACGTAGATTATGTGCCTGCAATGCTATATCCTGAAGGGACATGGCATAGATGACTACTCTGAATTCAAAACCATGGAGAAGGCAACAGGAAACCACTCCACTATCTTTCCTAAGATGTCATGGCAATTCACAGATAATAAAGAAAATGGAAGCTGTGGAGAGCCATGATCACCTACATCCTGAAGGGACATGGCATAGATGACTACTCTGAATTCAAAACCATGGAGAAGAGAAAGCAAAACCAATCCACTATCTTTCCCAAGAAGTCGTGCCAATTCCCAGATAATAAAGAAAAAGGAATCTGTGGAGAGCCATGATCACCTACATCCTGAAGGGACATGGTATAGATGACTACTCTGAATTCAAAACCATGGAGAAGGCAAAAGGAAACCACTCCACTATCTTTCCCAAGAAGTCATGACAATTCACAGATGATAAAGAAAAAGAAATCTGTGGAGAGCCATGATCACCTACATCCTGAAGGGACATGGCATAGATGACTACTCTGAATTCAAAACCATGGAGAAGGCAAAGGGAAACCACTCCACTCTCTTTCCCAAGAAGTCATGGCAATTCACAGATAATAAAGAAAATGGAATCTGTGGAGAGCCATGATCACCTACATCCTGAAGGGACATGGCATAGATGACTACTCTGAATTCAAAACCATGGAGAAGGTAACAGGAAACAACTCCACTATGTTTCCCAAGATGTCATGGCAATTCACATATAATAAAGAAAATGGAAGCTGTGGAGAGTCATGTTCACATACATCCTGAAGGGAGATGGCATTGAAACAAAGCACAACTTGGTAGCATGATGTGCAGATAATTGTTATAAAGTTCGTATAACGCTGATAGTTCTGGTTAATAATACTGCAAAGAAACACCGAGAGAGACGGTCGAGTGAAGAACATGTTTAATCACACGAGAGACATGCATTAATAATACATTAATAGAGAATACCGTCGTTCAGTGCGGCAATGCGTATGACTCAACGCTTCGTTGGAGTAACGTCCATCGTAGACAATAGCCATAGGATAACTAATCGACAGCCGAGACAGTAGTGTCTGGTGTGATGAAAATCTGATGCAATCACGGAATATTTTTAAGACTAAACAAATTTCATCATACACCACGAAAATAGGTTCATATTACTGCACACTACTTAAATGACTTAATCCGAGGAAAATATAGAAATCGATTACACTTTGTCCCTCCAGTGGGTCTAAAAATGACCGTATGGTGAAAGAAAGGAAATTGAAGTGGTTGTTTCAATTAATTTGCGCATGCGTCTAGGGTTCCTTTATCATTTTGTCAGTTTTAATTTAGGCTTCCATTGACCAGTGGCCAAAACAGTAAGGCAGTCTTTATCATTATCCTTCCACACAAAGGTTTATATTGTAAAAACGAAAATTAACAGCAACTATGGTGTGGGTTTCAATTTAGTCTTTGAAAACACGTCGTTAACAATCTGATAAATATTTTGAGTTTGAATGTAAAACAAACACAGGAACTTTTAAATTTTTTATTCCACCGATTGGAACCATAAAAGACATTTAACAAAGAAAAAACTTGAAGAGAACTTTACAAACACTACTGATTTATATTCATATATAAACTCATTCCATCAACATATTTTAACAACTGACAGTTTGTTTTTTATGCCCTATCTACCCCCTGGGGTTTGTTTTATGGCAAAACATATTTTAGATTATAAGAATAATTCTTTTTTTTTGTTGCGAATGAATATTGCAGTAATAATCATTTGAGAATAACAATGATTATTCCAGATACAAGTCTTACTATTTAACCCATAGCTGGGGTAGGAGATAAATTCATACCTTTTCCCAAGGAAAATGAATGTGACGAA